GTGTGTTTATTTTATTTGAAAAGTTTACAAAGTAAAAACGTTATTTTGTTATATAAAATTTTGAATTTTATGAATTTTGAGGGAGGACAGTTTTGGTTTTGCGAAATCATAGTGTGTAACATTCGTATTGAACCCCCCTAACCCCTAGCTATGCATGGCTAATTATCACATGTCTTGTCAACCTATCAAGAGATCCAAATCGAAATGGAATTTTGTCTTTTGTACAGAATAAACACTGAAATTGAAATAATTAATATAAAACTGTTTCTATAGAATTAGTTACTGAAAATGTAGTTTTGTCTTACTTTATATGGCATCTGTTTGGTGTGCTTGCCCAGATGTTCTGTAAGAATGAAATAATGATGATCAGAAGAATTATATAAATCAAAAAGAGATTCATTAACTTTACATACCTTTAAATTGTGTAAGATCATACACTAACTTATTACAGCCCTTCCATGGGCATAGATATTGATTAAGTTCACACACTGACTCATTACAGCCTTTCCATAGATATTGATCAAGTTCACACTCTAAATTATGCATGTGCAATGTGTTAACATGAAGTTCAAGCTTCTTTTGGGCACTGAAACTTGATTCTTCATAATGAGCATCTACACAGTCCCATCCATATTTAGTAAATTTGCAAATGAATGGTGCAATCAAACAACTACGAATAGGCTCATTTTCATCAATGGATCCTGGCGCAGTATCAACTAATACATGTTATAAATATTTAACTTGCTCCCACTTATCCTTCTTCTCATCCTCCAACTTATTCTTTTCCTTGTCTAATAATTCCTTTTCACCAACATATACTTCTTTTGCTCCCCTCCTCAACTCATCCAATCTCTTTAAGCTTCTCTCCTCTTCAAATCTCTTCAACCTCTTCTTTGATTCTTCATGTTCTCCTTTTACTTCTTCTAATTCTTTTTTAATATCATTCATTAATCAATGCCATTCTTTAAAAATTGTTAAAAATTTTTTTTTATTGATTAAAATGTAAAAATGATGTATATATATCATCATTGATGAGACAATTAATATTAAAAAAAATAATGTTTACTGTATTCTCTTGAATATAAGCAACAGTAAGAATTTGCAACAAAAAAACAGAAAAAATAGAAAAATAAATATAAGCAACACCTATATTTTTATTTGATTTCTTATTTTTATATAATAAATAAAAAAATAAGAAAATGACACCCAGCTGATCTTAAACCATATTGTTTTGCATATTGCAAACCTTGGAGCTTTTCAGCAACAGAATATGAAGAACGTTTGACTTTTGGCATTATGTGGGGAAAAAATGAATTAAAACTTAACACAAATGACGAAATAAGGAAACAGAATGTAACACAAACAAAATCTCTCGAATATAAGCAACACCTACAGTTTTGTTGACTAAAACTCGTTAAAATAATGTTGCTTATATTTGAGAGAATATATAATAATGGGAATATTTTTCCTATCAAATGAATCAGGGTGCAAAATCCTAGTACTAGGGATTTGGCTATTTTTTGGTTATACACATGTACGTTTTAATTTCTAATACTAATACAATTTATTCAAATCATTTTATTCAAATTATTTGTTTTGTTGTTTTACAAAACAATTCACAACTTGATGCAACAAATTCTATATTGTTGTTGTTGTTATTGCTAAAGGATTGTAAAAATTATAGATAAATCATTATATTTATTACTACTACAATGGTTACTAATACCATGACCTAAAAAAAAAGAAAATAAAATAGTCAGATCTCACACCCTGGTTCCAGAAATGTAATAGAGGCTGATGTTGTCTTTCTTGGTCAGATGTGGACATTTTAAAGTCAATTTTTACAACAATTGAAAAATAATAAACAAAACAGATGATCTAAAAAGATGAATTTATTATTCTCATTTGTTTTGAAAGTTATGCGACATGAATTGGATTTAATTTGAGTACAAAACATGCATTTAAACAACAGGAATAATTTTCCAATTATTTGTGTTACACACTGTACATGTCGAATTATATGTATCCCAATTTGGGATAATTTTCATTAATTTCTACTAAATAAAGGTCTAATGTTAATGTAACACAAGCTCATTATAACTATATAATTAAATCATTCAGATAATTAATACCAGCCCATGCAGACAATTTCTGAAAGGTTACACCTTTATCCCTCAGTTCGTAGGGATAAAGCCTCAGCCTGGGAAAACATATAAGAGGGATATCCCCCCTTATCAATCTTATCAATCTTTGGGTATCAGTCGGATAATTCACTCAAGATCTACAGGCCAGGTGATCAGAGATATATCCGTGTATTTATATTTATCCCTTGCCAGGCTAAAGCTGTATCCCTCTGAACACAGGGATAAAGGTATAACCTACCTGGAAATTGTCTGCATATGGTGATTAATACAAATAAAAATAGAATAATAGATAAAATAAATAACAAAATAAATAATATATATAGATAAAAATATAATATAAATAATATAAATAATATAAATAATATAGTAATAGATAATTTCACTCCAGAATTATGGGGTTATCAATCAGCGAATTAAGGTCAAATTTGCATTCTGGTGACAATATAAAAAAAGAGAATTATTTTTAATGATTAAAGAGTCAAAGAGTTGTTACATGAATAATACATGATAAAAAAAAATAGCATATATATTGTACATGAATTTAATTAATTTAATATTAAAGATTAAAAGTATAATTCCATTTGAGATGGAAAATTTCAATAATGTTCTTTGCCTTTCTTGATGGATGTATGTGTGTGTATATATATAATTAATGAAATAAAGAAAAGAGGTTGAATATAAATGATTCATGTATAATGAAAAAAAATAACAATAAAAAATATAATGCTTAATTGATGGGACCTCCCATCCACACAAGCCAACAATTGCAAACAGCCATCTAATAAAAATAAATAAATAAATAGTAAAAAAGAATTAGTAATAAATATAATAAACATGTAATTTATCAATCTTGCATGAAAATTATATAATCCTTGGCTCCCTATAGAAAATTTATGTACAGAAGTTCTTTACATTTTGTAATATTTATTTGTAAGAAATAATCCTTTAATAATGTACATAAAATTTTCTTGAAAAGTTTATGTAATGTAAGGAAAAATGAATTTTTACGTACATGGGAAAAAACCTATAAATTTTATAAATAATGGATTGTACTAAAAAACATACTTATTCTAAGGGGTAAACATACTCAATGTAAGAAAGAAATGTACTCAATCTCTATAGAAAATTTGCATACAGAAATTCCATATGAATTATAATTTTTATTGCTATTATATGCTATGGAACAGTGTTGTCAAAATTGCCAGTCCAGTTCAATTGGCACAGTAAAAAAGTGGCTTAGTTGTACCCTATAAAAAATTGGCATGGAAATGTATGGGAAAATGTATGGAAAACTGTACAGAATTTTACCTGAAATTCGCATTTTTCCATTATAGGGGTACATTGGAGTTTAGTGTTCCATGTTGCAATCCAAAAAAGGAAACTAAATGGTTGTAAAGGTGGTTGCAATCATTTTTATATGATGCAAAGGTGGTAGCAACCATCATCAAAAGTTGCAGCTGGTATCCTTAAATTGGTTTGGACTGGACTGGACTTATTGGACTGGGACTAGACTTTATTTGGACTTTGTCATACAAAGATAAAAAATTTCTCACAAATAATTACTGTAAAGAATGTAATCAATCACACATGACTTATTACTCTTTCAATGCCTCAAGAAAGTAACCAATATAAAAAATACTTACATGTTTTACCTGATAAACCAAATGGTTATAATCATATGGGTATTTGCATTGCTTGTAAGAGCTCTAATATGAATTGAAAATAACTAACTAAAAACTTGTCATAATCATTTGTTGAATTGTAAATTTTTTCGAAATAATTTTTCAAATGAGGAAGAATGGTTAAATTGGGTCGCTGATAATGATACAGACTACAATTGAAAATGAACTTTATAATAATGGTGAAGGTTTTATTAATACATTATCTAAAGAAATAAATAATTTACAAAACCTTTCTACTCCAAATAAAAAAAGACTTGGGTATGAATTTTAGTGTATTTATTTATTAAAAAAGAATATGATAAAAATAATAACTTTATTTAAATATCATTAAATAGAAAGTCCAACATAAAAAATATTCAATTATATCTATAAAAGGTGATGATGTGAAAAAATTGATTTTTATTGGTCATTGTTAATTTAAATGCTGAAATATGATTGGCTGGCTACCCCTTAGAATTGGTCCAGAGTCCAATAGATTTACTTGACTGGACTGGACTGGACTGGTTGGACTGGTCCATTAAGTCCAATTGCCAACACTGCTATGGAATGATTATTACAGTCAGTATTATTACCAAATATGGAATTTCTAAAATTGTAATGATAGACAATCTAGAAATCTTTAGAAAAAAAAACAAAATAAGAATGATTGGCTAAATTTTATGCAGATCTTTTCTTTGAATAATAATTAAAGTAAGATTTTAATAGGTTGCAGAGAGTTTGTGTAACCATCACATTACACAAGCATCAGTGTAATACATCATGATTATTAATTATATTCAATTTTTTTACAAAGCATATTTTCTTTTGCAGCATTGTTAGTTTTTGCAACCGATCAATGCACACAGCCTCCAATCTTTTATACTCTTCCAAAACTGCCCTGAAATTTTTTAATTGAGAATAATCAAGATCAAGGATTTGCAGTTTTTCCAATGAGAGAGCTCAACTCATTGCAACATACACTTGTCCTTCAGCAAACATACTTTCATCAGAATTCAATGTTACATGTGGCAAGGTCAATCCTTGAGTTTTATGAACAGTCAGAGCAAATGCATTCTGAAGAGGAATTGATTCCTTGATGCTCTCTTACCATAAAATTCAAAGTAAGATGCTTCTCTTTGAATGATAACCTTTCTTATGTAGGAAGGGTCACCTTGACATTCTCTTCATCATAAATTTTTGTCACTATCCCAATAGTTCCATTGCATATTTTTTTATCAAATAGCTTATTATTAACACATGCACCTTCTTGTAAATACATATGTAAACTCGATAAGTCAGTCATGTGGGGGAGAGCTCATATGACCGACTTATCAAGTAAACTGGCTTATCGAATTAAATTACTTAAATATTAAGAAAATGGGGTGAAAATTTTGGCCAACTTATCGAGTGACTGACTTATCGAGTTTACATATGTACAATTTATAAGGCAAGTTTGTTAAGTTTTTGAATTGAGCAATTGAGTGATCATCATTTGATATTTCAAATTCCAGTGTGTCTATGCATTCAGAAACCATTGGATCATTGCATGTTTCATCAAAAGGGAGGTGATTAAAGAATATTGCATTGAAGAATTGAGCTGCTTTTTGAGTGCCAACCACATGAATGGTATCATGGAAACTACAAAGGTCAGTTTCTTGGTTAATTTTTGTTTGGATTATTTGCTTGCTTCTAACTGACAAGTTTCCTGTTCTTATCTCTTGGAGGATCCTGTAAAATTCAACATCATTTATTTGCCTTTGTGGTGTAGTTAAGAACAATGGGAAAATTTTTTTCCAAGTTGGTGATCTAAATACTTGAGAAGAATGAACTGGAGGGAGTTGAGCTAGGTCTCCTATGACAAGTGTTGGTATTCCTCCAAAGATAAGATTGTTTTTATGAATTTTAGCAAAGATGTTGCTAACAAACATGAAAAGGTCACCATCAACCATTGACACTTCTTCAATCACAAGTGCATCAAACTTTTTTAATTCTGTTACATCTGCAGGGTTGGAAAGAGTTAATGTTTCATAACTTCCCTCCCAAAATCTTATTTTTAAGGATGAATGTATAGTTTTTCCATCAATGTTTTGGCTACAACACCAGTGGGAGCTACCAATAGGTATTTTTTATTCTTTGATTGGAGGAAATTAATTATTTGCCTGGTCT